CCCCCCCGCAACCCCTCGTGCCCTATAGCATCCGACACCAACGACAAAGTCCACCACCGTCGAGCTGTGGCTTTAGGGTGCCACTATTGCATGTCATCCCGTACTGTTATACCTACCCAGGTCTCAATCGCATAAACGCCACTGTGTAGTAGTCAAGTGTCTATCGCAGTGACCATATCTAATTTAGCAAGCTCGTCTTGTTCGACACACAACCCTTGATACACATCTCCGCTTGACTACCGCAATCACACAACAGGTAACGAATGGAGGGATGTTGACACAAAACGCACAAAACTATGCCTAGGTATCATATTCCGCATGGACTCGTGTAATCGCGGAACTCTGTATGGTAAACGTACCCTAGGCCGGCGGCCCACAACGGCCAAATGCCACATAGCAACAACACAACGACCAAAAAACAGCTCATTTGGTTGGCAGCATCAGGGCGACCAATCTCTCCCACACGAAAAACAAATGACCAAGATACCAACCAACACTCTTGACTGCCCCAAGTTAATGGTAAATAAGAGAACATCCTCCGAAACCGACAAAGCAACGAGAAGAACGCTCACCTATATCTACAGGTTAACCAAAATACCGAACACAGATACCGCCGGGCGAGGTGATGTCTGTCCGCAAGCATGCACACGTTGGAACAGCGAAAGAAGAGGGCAAGAAGAGCAAGATCCGAAGCAGAAAGCAGCCTTATACTTCGAAGTATGACACAGCAAAAACGGCAGGCGGGCGCCTCCAACAGCACCACACCAGATACAACTACTCACCATGGTATATCTTCTGCGCCCTTAATTAACCTCCCGCAATGAGGGTTGGTGTCTTTTCACTGGTCAACCGGTGGCGCGGAGTCAGACGCAGAATTAAAAAGAAATCTTGTCACACACACACAAGACCAACACACAAAACGGACACACTGCGCAGCATTCGCAGGTCTACTGATTCATTCATTAACAACCGCCCCCCAGCAACACCGCCCCATTTGCTTCTACAGTATTAGCAGTACGAACACGGCACTTCAAACGTCCTCGTAATCGTGCCTTCGGGCAGCAGGAGGCTCCCGGAAGCCGAGGATCCGTTCTCTCTGGGGCTTACGGAAGTGCGGGTCCGTGGGGAAAATCCACATGAGCTTGTTCCCGTCTCCGAAGATATCAGCCCAACGCAAGGGGCGAAAGTCCTCAGGTCCCCCCCTGATTCTCCCCTCTTTTCTCCTGCGCTGCATCCTGTCTACCGTGCCCAGACCCGTGATGACTCCGTGGAACTGGTTCAGCAGCATGCTGAGCGTGAAGACCATGGCCGCGGCGGAAATCACCAGCACCGCTCGGATCAGGTTCGCCGTGAGGGTGCTGTAGTCGTCGCAGTACTCCTCCGCCACGCACTCCACGAAGTGGTACAGTACGAGGCCGATCGCGTACCCCGTGATCGCTAGCACGTAGAAGAGGAACAGGATGAAGTACTTCTGGTTTGCAATCCCCACGCAGTTGTTCATCCACGGGCAATGGTGGTCCATTCTCACCACGCAGCGGCCGCAGAGCCGGCAGTGATGGGCTCTTCATTGCCATTGCCATTGCCATTTCCATTTCCATTGCCACCAGACAGGAAAAAACAGGGCGCGCGGAGGGGCACGAGGCACGTCACATCGCGGTTGCGGCAAAGTGCATATATACGCAAGCCAACAGTAAACAAGCGAGAAACGGGGATCGGGTAGGACGAGATGGGATTAGGGATGACCTTGGGTGGATCTTTTGTTTCGTCCATGTGTACATGTGTAAATGGTAGAAGAATCGCGCTCGGGCGAGGGCTGTTGGTCTCGAACAATACACACGTTCAAGGTGAAGGTGAAGCATGTATGTAGTATGATAGAAGCCCTCCCTGTCACACCTTCACTACGCCATTCTTCAAAAGCTTGCCTCCATGAACCGTAGTCGGAGAGAAGAGAAAACAAGGGGGGTACAATAGCAGTAGTGCTCATTCTCGCAGGCGCCAAACGCAGCACAGAGGACAAAGGATGGTGCCAGAGCATCACAGCTACGGGGACAGCAAAACATGGTTCTACAACAAGGGTTTGGACCCGCCCAGCCACACATGGCCGAGCGGGGCAAGGAAAATTTGATACCTTGAGCAGAACAAATATATCCGGTTAGACAGCTTGTTTTTTTAGACCGGTCCGCTGCCTAACACCATACCTGGTTCTTAATGGCGAAACATCGCGTCGAAGCTTGGGGTTGAATGCAAAGAAAAAATTCTGCCTGAAACGCGAAAGGTCGAGGGCGACGTATGTCGCATGTTGAAATGAATCATACACGTACACCCGCAACGTTCCGTCGCGTGTTGAAATGACTCATACATATACACAGTTAGTAATGGCTCATGCACTGCTACCAACATCGCTGTTGGGCGTGTTGAACTTCGCAACCCTAGTATCTAGTCTTTGCACTGCAGCAATGGGCGTCAGCCAATCAGAGAACGGATTCCGGCCATGTCATTCCCACGCCCTTCCCCCCGAAGCATTGTACAGTATGGTGGACGAACTTGGCACGCAGGGAAGCAACAAAACCTCAGGGAATCGTGTAGCATGCCACCCTGGCCATAGGTGCCGCCTATGATAGCTCTAGACAAAAGCGCGTGCCATGCCGTGCATTCTTGGAACACGATACTGTAGGGTAAAACCATGGCCAATGTTCGGCATTACGCAGGAGTCATTGTGCGCAACCTCGTATATACTGCTGCTGAAACACTCATCTTCTTGCGCACAACACAGCAGCGGCAGCGTCACTCAGGCAGAACGAGGCCAATGCTGTACAGCAACAGCTGGATTCAGGAGTGCACATGAGCACAACGAGAATTGGGGATACCACAGTAGGGCCTCACCACAGGTGCTGTAACCTCTGCCTCTATACTAAATCACTACCACTTAGGACTCACGTGGTTCATCCCTCGAAAAATATGCGTAAGTGATTGGGATGTGCTGGTAAGTGTCGAACCAAAGGGATAATATTTATGTTTATCAGATCGTCCTCCGACGGGTAGATGTGCATATGAAGAGTATAGCCAACCGGCGATTGGCGCCTTGCGCAGAACGCGAAATCCGTACCCGTTAACCTATCGCGTCGACTGCATCGTATCTATATTTTGCCGAAGAGCTCCACTGGCACACGGCTCAGGCAGATGGTTCCACCTTCATGGTCCCTTGATCTAATATCTACTTGAATGTGGAGTACTGTTTTTTTTTTTTTCATCATTGGACTCACATAGGAGGGGGGGGTTGGACCCCCTCCTGCGGTTCATGCCTGAGGTATTTTTGTCGCGAGAAGGGTACAGCAATCCCTTCCCTCGCGACTTACGAAGTCGATTAACGTTTACTAACGAACGAGCTTTGCAGCGCGTCGCTTTCATCCTAGACCAGGATTTATTTAGTGAGAAAAAACTCTCTCTGCCGGGACTCGAACCCATGACCTGGCCCTTAGCAGGCTACGAGGCCACCCACTAGACCACCGGGGCGACCGGGGTGTTTGTATACATCGCCCGCTGGTTCGAAAATCTGCTTCCGCGTCTCTTTGGAACGAGAGAATGACTCCGATGGGTTGGTTCGTTGGTTCTTCCGCCACCAAAGTTGTTCGCGTGTCATGTCACTCCCTTGACTATGCAAGATTGTTGGATACGGAAACGGGTCGATGGACATTCGCACGTGTGGCTGTCGGTGAAGAAAATGCTGTGCCCATGGGTGATGATGGCTAGAATCCCTGTCACAAGTGTGCACGGTACGCGGTATCGACACCGATCACGTCCTATGTATGATTTGGTTCTTGGGAAAACTTATGTTCCGTGTTCCATACATAAGCACACAACATACATGACATGGCATGTACGGCGGATGGAGGCCCAACCTCCCAACGCTCCCACCTGGTGGGCTTGTACGACTCGCATCGCCCGCACAGCGTGTGGTTCGCCGCCGCCGCCCCTTCCTCGCTCTCCTCCCTTGGAGGCAAGGCCGCCCTCGGCACTACGCCCGGTTCCGAAAGCATCGTCTTGAGGTGGCACCACACGGCCATCACGGTTAGGATCGTGTAGATCACAGCGTTCGCTATGACGAAATTGCCCGTGAAAAAAACCACCCACAGCACCACGAACTCCCCGTACGCCAGCGCGGTGCTGCATCGCGACGCAGCAGCAGCAGCAGCAGCAGCAGCAGCAGCAGCAATGCAAGGCAACAACCAGCGTTACGCAAGAGGGCATGACAAACACGCAAGACTTGCGGCGCACCCAAAGGAGGCGGCGAGAAACTACTGCTGTACAACAGGGGGATCAAAATGAACAGCGGTAGTAGGGTAACGCAAACTTCAAGACGAAGTGCTCCAGAAAAATACGAGAAAAAGCAAGGCAGCGTTGCTTCGTCGCAGCGTTGCCTAGCCGACTTACCCCAACCACTTGAGACGCCAGCTCCCCCTCTGAAGCCGAGGGCGCACAAAATACTACCCCTAACTGGCGCCAAAGTCCACAGCAGAGGCTACTCACAGTGCCATGGTGGCCATGATGACACCCATAGTGTCGGTGCGATTGCACCATATGCGTGACCCTTCAGACGTGCCGCAGCTGAAGGCAGAGGAAGAGGGCGAAGAGTAGTCGTGTCCCTCTCGTCCGGCATCATCGTGGTGGTGGTCGTTCATGAACGATGTCCTGGGCGTGGCAGCCATGGCCTCGGACCTCATCGGCCACGAACGAAGGTGCTGCAGAGAGATGTTTCGGTGATGGTGGAGGCAGAGGGCACACAGCAGGTATCTCGCAGGAGAGAGAGCTGCTGAGACAGGGAGAGAAAATACAAATGATTTGTCCGCTACGAAATCTCATTCGCGGGTCCCCTCGAAGCAGCTTGGAGAGATCTGCTGTGTCGCGCTGCTGCTGCGTCACAGGTCAGCGTGTTGTGTCTCTTCTCTCGTGCTCTGGTTTTCTACGCACTCGATCCTGCTGATTCCAAACTAGGCCGGATCGGCATGAGCGATGAGTTCACTCCTTCGTGCAGCCTAGAGCTTCGTTCGATGGAGATTACATGTGACAACAAGCAGCAGCAGCTACATTTCTGTAACCGCCGCTGCTGTGCCCTTTGAGGCGTAGTCTAGGTATATCCGAAGGCGTCGTGTGATACATATATCTCACCTGGCTACTGCTGTAGCTGTCTGGACTCACTTAATGGGCAGTGCGGCAAGCGTCCAAGGCGGGGGAACGCTGCCAATGACACCGCACTCTGAACAAGAGCACCTTCCTACGATAGAGGTGATTCCAACCCCTGCCCTTCGATAATAATCGGTCACGGTTCTTACCACGCTGAATATATGCTGAAGTATGCGTTAAACGGAACGATACGTACTGCGTGATGTTTGTTGCATGCCACCCATGGGGAAAAACAAGAAAAAGTCGTAGTCGGCAGTATGTACATACCGTAAGGATGCGAGAGAACATGCGGGGGTGCGATCGATTTTTTCATGATTTGGGTGCGATATCACCGGTGATGTCACCGGTCCACGTGTATTGCATAATTTGTTTGGTGCTTGGTTTTTCATCCCACGTACGGGGAGTGAGTGCGATATCATCGGTGCTGAGTAGTCTAAACCATAAACCCTACAGCAGGATTCGAAGCCTCGTAGGTGCGATCGCTGGCGATGATGTGTAGATCGTGATCTTGCTGTGTGGTCCAGTACCAGGTAGAGAGCAGGTTGTGGTTGCGTGAACATTGGAAGGTACACACCACCTTTATTTATTTATGTTTTTTTTTTATCGGTTTCCGAGGGCTCTTTTCTCGAACGGTCGGTGCGATACCTGTTATTTTCTATCATTTTGTTTTCTTTTTCCGGGTGGTTTGTACCCTATTTTTGTTTTGTTTCCCCGCGGCGTTGTATGTGCCGGGTGTTGAGACCACGGGCTCCCCATATTTTGTGGACCATAGAGCTAATAATGTGAGAAACAACAACAACAAAACAACAAACCAGCAATAAGTCTAATAATGAGGTAGTAGCGAGAATGAGTAGCGGGGGTTAGTTGGACTGGTTGTGAATAGAAAACGAGGTAGACTCATGTGATCAATAGTTGTCTTTTGAGGATCGTGATTCCACTTGCCTTCCCCCTTTGTCGTTGGCCTATTTTGTTTTCCCCTTGCGTTTTGTCCGTAACGAGTACTCGTTATCTTTTGCCGGCAGACTTTCGTAGCTGTTGATGATGGCAAATAAATGCTGGAATCAATGAATGAATAGGGTGAAGTGACCGATGACAGTCGTTTCTGACTTTTTTTGTTTTTTGTCATATTTTCCAGTGTTCCTTTAAGTGGTGCCCGATGCCGCCATACGCATAGCACCGTTCACGATACCGCGAAGTACCTCCTGCGCAGCGAGTGCTCCGGAGCCACTCGGGGCTGGGTGTCAGTGATATCGCACCCCGCACGATATCACCGAGCCCGGTGCGATAATCGAATTAGACTAGACTAAATCACGTGGTTCTTGGTTTTTATCGCACGGGGGTGCGATGTCACCGAACCGTGCTTTCTCTCGCACCCTTCTAGAACTTCTACTCGTAGACGCTGAAAACGTGCCCTTCATAGGATATTCGGACATCTTTGTCCCAGTGCAGTTTGTCCGTGCAGCAGCAACACACTGGCACTTACCGTCTCTGTTTTGTCCGCCCGTCTCTATAAAATAGTGCACGCTGAAAGGTCTACCTGGGGCCATTGAAGAATCGATTTACGTTAGGGACAGATGGCCTGTCATCATAGATCTAGAGGGACAGGCTACGCGATACTTGCGCTACCAACGCGGCGCTTTGCTTTTAGGAGACAACCGCGCAGACATGGAGAAGGACAACCTCCGAGCGCGACTCGTGGCGTGTTTGACGCATGGTGGAAATTTCAGTGTGGTGTTCCAGTCTCTGGCAGGAGTGCGCTTCGAGGACCTCTTCGATGAGGATCGTTTTCCGGCAGGGGTTCTCGACCGCCGACGGGTGTTCCTCGAAGAAACGTGAGCTATATGTAGACTGTGGCTGGTACCTCGTGCTTACAGCTAGCCTTGTCGCGTGCACAAACATCTTCTGAAGTACGATTTATCATCGACGTATACAGTTTGGGTGGTTTTCGTGCATAGGCGAAATGATAAGAACCGGGGGGTAAGAAGTGCAGGGGGTGTTTTTCTGTTGGGTGATCGTAGTCTGTCACGGTACGCCCGGAGCTACATGCTTTGTCGTTCCGATCTCATTCGTACTGGTCCAGCGTACGCGAATGGATGCCTTCCGTGGCCTCAGGCTAACTACATGTCACTCCCCAGAGAGAGTGCACATAAATCAAAGAATTGTACACAAAAGTATATAGAAAAACCAATGCCAGCAGTCTCGTCTTGCTACTTCGTTTCCATCAGGAGAAGCCACTCCGTACCCCGCTCATCTATCTGCAATTTGACAGAGTTTAGCTATGATTTCGTACGGTATGCCGACAGATAATAAGCGAGTCACCATCGGCTACTCTCCTTCGTACCTACCATCCAAGAAGCGTGATACCACGGACTTTTCTCGAGGTTTTGCCTCTTTTTCACTCTGTCAAAGACCGTGCCATCGTTGTACGAATTCGATGTCCAGCAATGCTGAACTTCAATGCCCGATGAACATCCCGACAGGTGGGGAAAACTCTTGCGACCGGATAAGGGAGATCCCACTCCCGATCTCTTTCTCCCCCGAGACGACTTCACTTTCATCGTGGTCACCGGCAAGGAGGAAGCTTTACCAGAAGAAATTCTGGCATGGATGACGACCATACGTGTGGGGGACGTCGAGCAGAAAGCCGAAGGTGGGGACAAGGACGCAATAGTGGACCAAGAGCTCGCAGGTCTCTTTGGCGCACCGGAGGTCAAGCGAACATCCAAGGCGATGGTAGAGGCGGCGTTTGATGGGTGCGCGAGATGTCTCTGACGCCCGAATCTTGAGACGTTGCGAAACGTAGTACGCGGGTGATGATGCTGATGCTTGTTATTCCCTTCTTCATACCCGGCGACTTCATCTCACTTGGTACTGTAGTACGGGTGACCCTTTCGCTCGACCAAGCATTGGGCAGCGAAGGAGCAATGCTGTGAATTTGGTTCTCCACGCTTCACCCCGGTCATATTTCTCTCCATCTCTCTTCGTTCCGTTTGCAACAACCTCACTTCTCGTCGACGTGGAAGAGAACTGGACGAAGCGAAGAATTGGCTGGACAAAGGATTTCACGTCGAAAGCGCAGGTACCGTTTATATGATGGAGACAGTTGCAGTGCGTCGGCACACTAAATAGAGAAAATTCCTGTGAAAATTCCCTTCATAAAGGGTACAAATCCCCCAACAAAATCTGTCAAGGACGATAGATTGCCTGTTTCACATGAAACATCTACGCTTGCGGACGCGACTAGATAAATGTGCGGACAACTCCTGCACCAGATACACCAGAGCACAAATGGCAACCGTACCAGCTCCTGCTTTGCCAATTTGACAGATGGGCGCGGACACACCAGCATCAGCGAGGCGGCGGCGCAGGGCCACGATGACCTGATACGGTTGCTTTTGGCCGAAGGAGCAAACCCTAACGCACTGAACGACAGCGGGCGTTCAGCTTTGTGGCGATCTTGCTACAACGGACACACGGGTGCCCTGAAGCTGCTCCTTGAAGCAGGCGCAGATCCATCCTTTCGAGACAAAGTGAGCCGTGCCAACGCTACGGGATGTCTTACCATAGGGGTTCCAAAACAAGCGCCTACGGTGCCAGTCATCCGTCTAGGCGGTGCAGCCGTTCCACTCCGATGGTCGAAGCGTGGCATCTTGCGATGTGCATTTGCGCTGCAGCACGCGAGTGATCCCGATTCTAGTTTCCCAGGCTGTGCTAGCCGACTCGTTGCTTTTTGGAATGGACGCTGAACCTCCGGCATCAACACACCAACCATCATCGTTTTGCTTCTTGTACGTCCTGACATGAAGGTATCTCATGAGGGCCCCTATGACGTGGCCAAAAGCGACGAAATCCGAGATATTCTGGACGCGTGGGACCCTGAGGTGACCACTCGCTTGTGCGAAGAGCGCAAGAAACAGATGAGAGCGAGGGCGGAGGAGCGCCTGACCACAGCGGCAGAGCGAGATCACCTCGCACGCACCATCATTCGGGACGAGCTGATCGACAAAGCTGTCGCCGGCGACGTCCCCGGGCTCAAGGAGAAGCTGATCGAGCTTGCGGACGACGCTGGGACGACCGGGCAGCGGCCTAGGGCCACGTGCGAAGTGAGGGACCCCCGAGGGATGACCTTGCTCTCGCTGGCCGCACAACACGACCGTTCGGGGGTGGTGGAGCTACTCCTGACGCACTGGAAGACCTGCGACGACAGCAGCACGGTTGGAGGAACTCCGAGGACGTTGAGCTGGCAATGCAGAGTGTTCAGGGCTAACCCGAACTCGAGGTGAGAGGGTTTTCTATTTCTGGATAAACAGGAGGACAGAGAGGGACATGCCCGCTTCAAGGGGGCATGGTTCCGGAGGCAGCCTGAAGTCCAAAGTATCCCAACAGATTCACCTCGAAGGTATGTGATCTAGTTGTGCTCACTTTTTCACCCTGTGCCAAGGATCCCTTCGTTCGGCATGAAACGCAGGACTAGAAAGGATTGTGTTCCTACTGCATGCCTCTGGTGACTTGAGTTGAAAACCAAATCTATCTCTCCGAATACAGGGATTTGAAAGGGTGGAATCCTGCCGCAATCGCCGTCTTTCACGAGTCCAAGGCAGCCTTGAAGCTGCTCTTGGAACACGGAGCGGACCCACACCTCAAGTCTTCCTACAGCAAAAGCGCTTGGGATATGGCGCAAGATGACCTAGATGCAGCCGGGAAAGTGGTTAGGTCTAGGTAGGTGCCAAAGCCAGGCAGCAAGCTGATGTCTTGCCTGCCAGCTTTGATAGATTATATCCAACGTCTACCTGCTGTGGTAAAGTCGATGTCGCTGTGGCCCACACCCCTGAAGCAAGGTGATACACTACGTACAGAGGGTCGGCCCTGCCCACCCCGTGCATAAATTTGCGTTGGCTCGACTACTTCCACAGAGGTATGCGTTGGCTCGACTACGACTACATAACCATTAGAGCAAAACGAGGCTTTCACGGGACTGTCAAGCAACCTCCTTCTAAACCCGGGAAACTTCCTGCTTACTCCGTGGGTAATCTGCTGGATTGACACCCTCGACCCTTGTTCATCACTCAACCACCAAACGGGTACCTTCGAACTTGGCGTTTATCATACCTTCGAGCTTGGCGTTTATCATCGGCCAGTGCTGAAGTATGAGACTCCCCCATAACCCGCCGCCCCCCCGTGTCATGCTTGGTCCTTCGTTCATCCGCGCTCATCCGTGCAACTCAATGTCAGGAAAGAAATTCGTGGCGTAATCAATCAATGGGAGCTGGACACGGGACAACAAGTGCATCTGCAGCCTCCTCGTAACGACCCTATCGGTGCAGATGGGGTCCCTGTAGGACAACCAAAAAATGGCACGGCTACGATGTTGGCCATTGAGGTTGCCAAGGGAGGGAAAACAGCTGGGAAAGGGGGCGGGAAATCAAAGAGTGGCGTAAAAAAGGCTGCCGCACACAAAAAGAAGCAGGGTCAATAAGCTCTCCTGTTTACAATGCAGTCGATGCATATCTACATAGCCGACTGTGATTTGGTTTTGTGTAATACATCGTAGTTTGGCCAACAACCCATCAGTCATTCCAAGGACCTGCTCAGCCCGTGTCCATGCGTACCGCTAAGGCGGCCAGAGTTTTCGTGCGAACATCTGGAACGTCCACCACAGCAGGTCAAAGGAGGCTGGCACCACACTGCCATTATCGCCACGAGTATTTTTCGGAAGTGGGGCGGGTGGTACGGTGAGCCCAAGGTGTTGAAACCTCGATAGTTGAACCAATGACAACGTGGATTAAGTTTTTCTTTATACAAATAGAAAATACAGTAGATATAACTCGTCTACAATATACGGAGGAGGCCGAAGCACACGCTGCGCACACATCAACACGCGTTGCGAACACATAGTCAAATGTGGTAGTCTACACCAGGAAATCTGCCAGAAAAGGCCAGCGGGGTTGTTTTGAACCTCGACACGTTTGCAAACGCTTCATAAGGACAGCATGCAGATTGTCGTACCTGAAAAGTGTAAACATGTAAGGGTACACACGAGCGGTCCATCCGTTGAGCATCATTGACAGCGTCGTCAGGAACCCTCCTAGGTGCGCCAGAGCTGACAAGGCGTTGACATTTCTCTGGTGAATAGTGTACCCCGAAAAAAGCCCGACAAACTCCAAGGCCATCAAAAGCAGTGCAAGCTCTAGCAGAGTAGTCATCCTGCGGAATCGAGATATCGGCGCGTATGTGAAGGGGATATAAGGCGACCAAATGGCGACCACTCGCATTCGCACTGTCGGCCGCCGTGAGATTGTTTGCTTCGCAAATTTTCGTCATTTTTCACACCGCCACACCACCCAACAACACCCAAATCCCACAACACCACTGGGACAACGGAAAGGAGTTGGAGCTTGCTGGAGAACCGCAGCGGATTGCCATGCCATTGCGTTTTTACACAGCAAACACTCACCAGGTGTCGGTGTGCTCATATCGGTCCATCGTTTGCGGTGTATCCAGATCAATCTGAACCAACGGCGTCTTCCCGAAAAAGAGCAGGACCGTAGCAACGACGTGGAACGTGAGCGCCAAGAATCTGCCACTCACAAGTTTCACTAGCCCATCCGTCTGCATGGTGCTGAAGAGACAAGGCACCAACATGGATAATGATATGGAGATCAGACGCCTGCCGCCGGATCGTGGATGGAGCAGGATCCGCATTTCCGATATCCAACGTCACTAGCGGCCACGTAGAACGGAATATTCCACCCCCTGTTGTGGCAGGGATATCAACTGTGGTGCCCCCTTCAGCAATTTTCTCGCGCGTCTGGCGTGTTGTTTCGTCGCCGTCGTACCGCGTAGACACACAACCACCATGCTCGTGGACGACCTCGTCGGTCAGCTTGCCAGTCTGAGCCTGGATGTTGGCCGAGTCCCCCAGGAGAAAGCTTCAAAGAAGCTGGAGTACAAAGACGAAGGTATGATGTTTCGCCACGCTGCAACAGCATAATCCCAACCGCCACTCTGAACCGACCCAACATGCTTCCAGCGCACAGGATTGCTGTTCTGTCCACTTGCTGCGTGCTACTGCTGCAACAAGCAACGGTATTGCTGTCGTTGATCATGTCTGGCCGGTGTTTAGGTGAACATGCAATCAAGCAACTGGAGGCCCACCTTGCGCGAGTGCGACTTCAAGTGTCGAAACCTCATTCGCTAGGGCATGCAGCCACGCAGGAGGGCAAAGGGCTTCTCAAGATCGCTCAGGCAGGACTACGGAACACTGCCGGGGGGTTGGGTGAGTTCTGTGACTGTTGTGCATCATGTCATCTTGTACACTAGCTACTCAATCTAGATACCATATGTATATTTGTGGTGCCGGAACAGCAGGTCAACTGTGTAGAGTGTGGCTCAATGGCATGTCGGCATGCTCGCCAAGAACACCTGCGGTGTTTCGAGAGAGTACACCGCCGTATACCTACGGCTGAAAACGTAAACGTCTACGCGTTTTGTACCACTATTTCGAACGACACACCTTGCCTAGACAACATGTAGAAGTCATACATGAGCGACTCAAAGAATGGTGTATAGGTTGCACTATCCGCTGCAGCAGTGCTGCACGGTTTTTGTGCAACTTTTGCTGTACAGCTCGCTCGAAGATTTGCCACAACCGACAGCGGTAGAGAACTGCTGTAGATCTAGCGTATGTACCGCACAGCAAGATCGCACATGACTCTTGAAACCCTCAAGCGGTACCGATACTCTGAACCGGTCTACAGAAGACTATAGGCCCAAACTTAGTCCACCGTGCCAGGGCACCTGTCCTACAGCATCTAGAAGGGTTCAAACCGCGCACTTCGAGATCCAGGCGAACGCCCACGGTCCAGACTGTAGGAACGGAGGACTTAAATATTGAGTATTGAAATGTCCATGCTCCGCTTCCACTGCTGTAATCACCGGGACCCGCCGGTGCAGCCACAATGTACTGCGTTCACGCTGGAACCGTGAGTGGAATATCTGTGATGCAGTGAGTGACGTCCTGTACGCAACGGCAACACTCCGAATTTCGCTTGATTGACCGCATGCTGCTGAGCAACAGACTGCTGTACTCTTTGTCATTTTGGTGGGAACCGAAAGGCACAACTTCAGCATCGCTTGAAAGACGTTCGAAAGAGGCGCAGCAAGACAGCTTCACCCAGCGTTTATTGTCTTTGCTAAGCACACCAAACTCGTTCGTGATATTCTAAATGCACAAACCGTACGGTCGATCTTGAGGCACGTACACTCTTTTATTACTCAAAAAGTGCTGTGGAAACCAGGATATAGGTATCTTCCCAGTAGTATGGACGCACATACAACCGTATAGATCCGGTGACCCCAAAAACGACGTTCTCGTGGTCTGAAGATCTTTACAACGAGAAGACCCTCCGTCTGCTGTGACCAGCCGGAGGGTAGAAGCGAGCCCAAAAAGCTCACTCTCACCTTCCACCCTAGCAAGGCTGACTAACGTCAGCAACGCTTGGCCATTCCTTGCCACATTGCAATACGAGCGAAATTACCTCCGTCGGTGAAAGGTCAACGGAGTAAGGGTATTCTCAGTGCGGAGAAACAAGATAACAGCGTCCCGCACAAAGCTCAAGCTTCGTAGTTTAGGCTAGTTGAATTGTAGAGCTCGGCCGACACCCTCCACTCGTTCCACGTTTGTTGCTGATTGTCCGGTTAAACCGCAGAACCACTTCGCCTGGCGTACGAGGCTTCGCGCTCCCTTTTACCGCTATCTCCCTTCATCTCGGCGGCTGATCTGACCATGGAAAGGCTGTGGTACAAGGTGGCTTCGCGCAGTGTCGAGCTCGGCGATTTCTTGCTTGGTCTCCGCGCTTCTGCTTGCCTCCAGATATGTTTGGATCAGCGCAAAGGAGACGACTTTGCGATACGTGGTGGGGGGGACGGGGGGAAAGACAACGCAGACTGCTGCCTTGTTATTGTCTCCAAGGCGGATGGCGAGGATTTACGGCTCCGCTCTTTCAGGTCACCAGGAGCGAGCGGTTCTATGGCGTTGGCTAAGCTAGTTAGCGGCGCGTGCTTGAACGCGTGCCGGTGTTGCCTCGAGGTCGCCTCGATAGGGGCGCTCAGGCTGCTGTCAGGGGAGCTCGGTCGAAGCGCTGGAAGGTGGATCGATAGGGTCAGCGAGCTCGGGGACGACGCCACTGCTGGTACGAAGAGTAAGAGTACATACGGAAATGTATAAAACGTCCTCTCTGTTGCTATTCCTGACAATTTGGTAGATTTCACTGCAAGTGAAACTACTGCTGTGTGCAGCTGCGTGTTTCTGTTTTGTTTTGTCTTGAGTGCACTGGCTTTGACATGCCTGTTTCTATGTGTTACACTCTGCTGCGTACAGAGTTCACGTTCTGAGTGATGATACTCTCAAGAAAGAAAGGTACTCCAGGGATAATATCTGTAAGTCTATTGATTGTGCGTTGCTTTCTTTTTCGGTGGAGGCATGCCTCTCGTCCGCCACAATCGGCTCCAAACGTTTTTCCCATTGTTTCCGCACCCGATGCACTCGATCGACCGCAGATTCGTACAGAGGCCTCCTCTTCAAGCAGCTTTGGCTCGGGTGTGCTTCGTTGGAGAATCCCGGTCTGGGCGCCAATTCGCGGGAATGTTTGCTGGGTCGGGAGACGGCGATGGCGGTAATGTTGAGGAAGGAAGACGCTTGGAACGCCGACGTTTTCGTTGCTCACGCCCTCCGCGGAGCGATGGCACTGCAAGAACGCGCCGCTGGCGACCGGTCAAGCGCCGACGAGGGGGCAGAGCTATCGGCCTTCTGCTTGAGCGGGCTGTCTGAGCGGGAGGGCGAAGGATGGCCGGTTCGAGTTGCAGAAAGTTCTGGGAAGTTGCATCCCACTTGGGTAGACTGGCTACAGTACTCCGCCGGGCTTCACGAGAAGGCTGGGCAGGCTGCAGAGGCTCAGCGGCTGCTGCATCTGGCCTTCGAGTACGTCCATCGATGTTGGAAGCGGCAGCCGAAAGGAGGCCACAGGGCGGCTGAGTGCGCGGCGTACGCAAGCATCTTGAAGATGCATACGGCGGCCATGATCACGTCGCTCCGTTCCCCCGACGGTGGTGCTGCTGCTGCCGCTGCTGCTGGTCCGGCCGCCACGCCGCGTGTCGGCAAACAATTGGCCAAAAAGCGCGGGGGGAAGAGAGCCGCGGAACCATCGGAGCCGTCGTCGGTGGTCCATGCCCTCACTTCGCGTGGACTGGACTACCTTGAGGACGCGCTTGCCGCTCTCGAAGCTCTTACGGAGGACACGGATGGCGAGGAAGCGGGAGCAGAGGCCGCTGCCTTTGTCGGCGCAGCCGTCAAGACGTGGGCACGGGCGAAGAAGTCCTGCGGTGTAACCGCTCTGTGGGTGGAAGAAGCCAGCGGCCATGAGGCGGGGAGCTCTGGTGGGTCTGGTGGGAAGCCCGGAGAACTGGAGTGGTCCGCCCTGAGTGCGCGTGGGCACTGGGTCCTCGCCGACCTGAGCCTGAAGCTGGAGCTTGTTCGAGGGAGAGGCAGCCTTGGTCGCGTGCTCGAACGGATCCCCCGAACCGAATCGCTCGCCCAGCTTGCTGTCGACAGCTACCTCCGGATTGCACACGCCCATCTCGGTGCCCTGGCAACAACGCTTAGACCTGGCCAAGCTACTGGCGTCCGGGCTGGGCGAGGGCAGTCGCAGGCCGGGAGCAACGACGATGGCGCCCGTCGCACATTGGCGGCTGCTGAGCAAACCCTGGAGAACTTTGTCGACGTTCTTCCGCCCCAAGCCATCAAGCGGGTGGGCACAGGCTGGTTCGGGCTCGGAACGACGCTGGTGGACCACGGCGAGGTTGACACAGGCGTGCAAGCTCTCCTTCGAGGGTGTCGCCTGCTGGAGAGATGGACAGAGGCAGAGTCAGACCGATCATCAGAATCAGAGATGGGGTCTTCGGAGGACGAGGATTGTTCCACAGGCCCCGACGTGTGGGAGATCTTGCGATCCGCCCAGCTAGACATGCGACTGGTGAAGCTCAGCCTGGTGCTCCAGGATTCCGCGGCCGGCGTCGTGGCCGCCGCCGCGATGGCGAGAGCACTGGCGTTTTGTCCTGGGGTGTGGCGCTTATCTTCTCCCGGAGACCAGCCAGACTCTCCAGCAGGGGCTCTTGCCTTGGTTGAGAGGTTTGTGGCGTGCAAGCTTCGTTGTGGCAGTTCCTCGGACGGGGGGTTGACTGGAGATACAGCCAGAATGCTATCTGAGTACCTGTCGGACGGCGAGGAGCGGCTTGCCGGAGGAGGAGGAACGGCTCTCGACCTGCCGACAGCTCTCGAAAAGCGAGGTCTTTCTCCCGTGGCGATCGTGTGGGTTCTCCTCGCCGCGTGCCGTGTGTATCGCGCGCATCTACCTTTGTGCATCTCCGAAGAAGCGGGATCTGCGGCTGGGGAGGAGGACGAGGAGGAGGACGGGGAGGAGGAGGGAGGCGCGTTGGCGGCGTGTGTTGAGGGCCATCGTCGCGCGACCGAGGCGGTCCTGAGGATTTGCAGCAGTTACCAAGATGGGGTGGATGACGGGCGAGACGGAGCAGGCTCTTGGGAGGCCCAAGCTCGTTTGCTGGCTGCAAGGTTTGAGCATGATCTGCATCTCGCCGACGTTGCCGATGGTCGAGCAGCAGCCCACGAGGCGGGGAGGGTGCTCGCAGACCTTCCGGCCGGCCTTGAACACTCTGTAAGCGGTGTCGCAGCTGCATCCAAACTCTGGGGTGGGGAGGACTCTGGTTCCGGCTCCCCTGTTGCGGCTGCCGCAGCGGGTGTGTTCGCTTGCATCCGAGCCATGCTTCTCCGTTCTGTGGCGGGTCAAGAGGGTGACGTGCATACCTCCTTGCATGAGGGCTGTAGGTTGATCGAGCAAGCCGCACGGGACTCGGACTGGACTCCTTCACACAAGTCGCAGGCAAACCTAGGACCTGCCGGCGCTGGCACCATCATGGACTATCTGGACGTGTTGGAGGCCCACTACGCCCTGCATGGCGACACGTTGCAACGAGCGAAGGTGGCCGAAGTGAGGCTTGAGCTGGCCGACCGCGTTAGCCTTAACGGAGGCGTGGATAGTTTGCCACAGGGTGTCGCTACCTCCGCCGCAGCTTTGGCTGGAATTGGTGCCGTGTTTCAAGCGGGGGGTTTCCCCGGCCTTGGCCACGTGTACGTTGCTGCAGCGATCGAGCAGGTGTGCGAACTAGCGGTGTCTGCAAGACAAGAAGCGAAGGCGGCGGGCGATGAACAGGCAAAGGGGGGGCCCTCCCGCGCTCATGTAGGGGCGGCACGGGTTGCCGTGGATGTTCTTCGCGGCATGTGCCTGGCGGAGGGGAGCAGTAGCGAGGAGGAAGGGGTGAGAGTTCTGCTCGAGGCTAGGCGGGCTGTGTCCGATGTCGACTCGAGAGTCGTCGCCCCAGCGACGGTGGCGTACCTGGAGTGCGTGGCGGGGTTGGGCTTGTCGTGGGTGTACCAGAGGAACGGTCGCCTGGTGGAAGCGATGGAGGAAGTACGGCAAGTGATGCGGCTGTGTCGCGCTTGGGCTTCCGCTGGAGGCTCGCTCGTAGCATCGGACAAGCAGGTCGTTGCTCTCTCGGCGGGGAAGGGCGACTGCATCCACGACGAAGGGTCAAATGGGCTCGCTGATGCTGGGAGTCACCACGCGGAGGCTGAGGAGGGCGTCGGGACAGAGAGCGGAGACACGGAGGACACGTTAGGAGACGAGGCAGCAGGCGGCGGACACGGCCAGGAAAGGACAGGTTTCGCGCTGGGCTCGCGCTGGATACCGATCTATCTCGAAGGCTTGGCGCGCATGGGGCGGTTGTGGCGTCAGAGGGGGATGGCCTCCAAGGCCAGCCTCGCGTTGCGGCAGGGCTGTGTGATGAGCGAGTCGCTGCATGCCGCCCGATTCCTACGGCGCTGCCTGCTCGAGGAGATCGAAGTTGCCACAGGGAAGCACCAGTTCGCTCGCGCCGACCGCCTCCTTCGAGCTAGCCGGGAGCTCGTGCGCCAAGAGCGGCGGCAGTTGATATCGGTGGAGGGGGGCGCTGTTTCTTCTGGGTGCGCAGCCTGTCAAGCACCAGACCCTATAGGTGCCGCGGCCCCAGGGGGCGGCGCTCCACCACCGTCAACCAAAGAAAAAGGGTCCAAGAGGGGAGCTAAGAAACCGGGCGGGAAGGGGAAGCCGTGTCCAACGGCGGAGGCGGCGACACCCACGACGGCGGTATGCGCTCGCTGCCGCGAGCTGGCGGTGAACACGGCGGAGTTGGCCGCAGCGGAGGCGTCGCTCTTGCGAAAGCAGGGGGGCTTTGTGGGAGCCCTCGAGGCCTGTGAGCGAGGGAAGGCGATCGTTGCCCCTCTGCTCCAAGCCGCCGGCGAGCCGGCGCTGCTGTGGAGTGGCTCGTTGTCGTTTGCGCGAGTGTCGGCGGAGCATGGTCAACAGGTGAAAGCGGCCGAGTCAAACGGTCTCGGCTGGCGAGCGGTAGAGGTCTTATCCATGCTCCGTCTGCAGCAAGGCCGAGTGTCTTGCCTCCTTGGGGACGCCACCGCGGGGGAAGCTCTGCTCCAGGACTGCTCAAGTTTGGAAGGCGCCCCCGCTCTCGTACGCGCAACGGCGCTCTACCGGATAGGGCGGATGTCCCTGGATGTCGGAGACGGGGCGGGGGCGAAACTCCCATTAGAGAGAGCGGAAGCACTCGCTAGAGGTTCTGGTGCCCCCAAGCTCGTCCGAAAAGTGCGGCGGGCCCTGGCCGTGACGCTGACCGAGCTCGCTGCCAAGGGAGGGCCGGAGAGCGTCAACATCGACGGGACTTGGAGAGTAGCGGCTCTGTCTAGCCTGTCGGTGGGGGTGACGCAGTGCAATCAGGCCACCCACGTGTCCTCGAGGCGTCCCCGCAAGGGCGAAGCTGTGCCGAAGTTTTCGGAGGACTCGGCGGGGCTGAGACTGTTTGATGCTGTCAGCGGGGGCCGCGGGGGGACGACGGCGGAAGAGTGTCGTCAGCATGAGGGTGAGTGAGGCGTTACTGCTGTGTGGTGCGTTATATCGTGCAACACATAGCGGTATCTAGGGTGTTGCTGTGAAATTTTGGTGGTGCCGAAGGAGAAACGAAATATTGTACTTGTTGAATAGGTCTGCTGGAGTGATGGGCACGCGCGTGAATGTTGGACGACGTGCTGCGGCTCTCGTGCCGTCCGTGCAGTGAACACAGAGCAATGTCATAAGTTTGTGCGAGTTATCGCTCGACCGGTGGCACATGCATAATTTTTTGTGTAGTCGCTGGGCAACGTTCGAGCGCAGATGGTCACGCTGTGTGTATCCGTTGTTCACTTTCCTAATTGCCGTGCTGTGTGTTTGCCGTTCCGAGCCAAAACGCAGCAGTGCTCGAGACAACCCCACTGTTGTCCAATGTTGCAGTACTCTGCCTGTGATTCAGCTGTTTTCCTTTATGCGGGGCTTGATGCTTCTCGACGACAAGAATTGCCGGTGGTTTCCATACACGTGTACCGCAAACCGACAATATTGTGCTTCTTCCTCCGTCTTCGTCCACCATGA